GTAGCCAAATACCAATCCGATAAATAATCATCTATGTCTTCTTGATTATTCAATTATCCACAAGACATGAATATAATTATTCTTTTGAATATGCTTGATTATTATTCAAAATCTACATACAATGCAAAACAGAATCACTATATAAAGCAGATCATTCGGAGTTATCCACATTATTGTTTTTTATATTCGGCTGAGTGGTGTTCAGCAGTCGTTTATGCTGTGCACCATATCGGCAATATTTATATTTTGTGTTGTAAGTTACTTCGATGTCTCATGGCTGCCGTTTGTATGATCATGAAGTGAATGATGAAAAATGGCTGATTATGATTATGAGATGAAAAGAACCACTCCATATGCGGTCACATTGTACGCTATTGATGTGACATGTACATTATCATCGAATCTGGCACATTGATGAGTGGGATTTGCTGAATGAATAGTAGGATTTGTTCAGATTCATTGGAGGACATTGAACGCATTCATTCAAGCGAAGTGTGCCAGCAGCAGAATCAGTGAAAAGAGTTAAAATGACTCGACGAGGTGAAAAAGTCAGACGAGAGATGAAATTGGTTTGACGGCTTTTTCTTTTCATTGAAACGCTCGTATTCAGTGAAAACCTCCTTTAACTAATCAAGAAGTTCCGGTCGTTGGGAGCACTGAGCGAGCGAATGGTCAATCGCTCTGTGTTTCGATGTGCGGCGCATCATTAAACCAAAAAATTATTCTGAGCAGTTAGATGGCTAATCGTCATTATCATAAAGGCATTAATATGATTAGAATAATGCTGATCTGCTGCTTGATAGGCTCTCTCGACAGCACATGAATATGATTTGGCTGATAAAGGTCCGAATGAAAATCAAATGAATATGATAGAAACAATGAGTTGGTTAATCGATGCATATTTTGAGGAAGGAACAAGCGGTGAGTGGAGGAAAGGTCTGCGTGGTAAGAGACTATCGAAGGAACTAAGAGCTTCACAATTGGACAGGAGAGAGGCACTCGCAGCAGGTGAATAATAATGAGTTGACGACTTGTGATCATCAAATGAAACATTCCAAGACTTCACTGTATTAGTACGACAGTTGACTGATCAGAGGAGATATATAATCACATGAGGGAATTATTTTATAATCAAACAACAGTCAACACCGATAGCAAAGCCTGGTGGATTTGTTTTTGACCAAGTGAACTTGCTGCATTAAACTGCTCATATCTATGACTTCAAAGCACATGTGCAGAGTGTGTGTCAGTTAGTTAAATGGAGAAAAAGACATGATTCAATTCATATCATAATTTTTTTAAACTTCACATCTATACGTTTACGTAGGTTGTGAGGAAAGAGGACATTAAAAGCTAAATACTGGGTTATGTAAACGTGACTTAATACTAGATTATTGAATCGTTTTGCGAACTTATTCAATCAAATGGTCCATTTATGTTGCAGGTTCTCGTGAACGTTTGAAACGTTTGAAGCCGTAAGTATTATTCATTTACTATCATGCTCGAATGATCAGCCAGATCAACTCTCAACAAATAAACTCAGTCGAGAAGAGAAACCTTGAGTGAATCTGACGTGATAACAGTATACATCATTGAGATTTGATTGATTTGATCTAATTGGTTTATCATCAGTTATTTTCAGATCTTTCAAAAGTAAATTAAGTCGTGATTTTGTTCGATTCAGAGGTTTTGTGGTACGTTCAATCGCTTGATAATTCGCGCAAGTCTCGTTTCGACATCTACACAGCCCCTTCAGCTGTCTCACATGCACACTGGCTTACGATATGGCTTTTGACCATACCCACAAACAGTCCAGCAATTCCATAAAATTGATCNATATTCATTAATATCAGATAAAATCGAAGTTTAAATCTGATGTAATCAAAACTTCATGAAAATGCACTTCAGAAGAAAACTTATATGCGTGACGAAGCACCAGTGATGCCTATAGTTTCAGCCGCACCGCCATCTGAGTTACATGCTTCAGAAAGTTAATTTTTTTCTCGTTGAACATATTCCACACATGTTCTGACGTAACAATTGAAAGCAATCTCATTTCAGTGCGTTCCACCTGACATCAATTTATAGCGCGGTGATTGAGTACGACACTCAATTCATCCTTTCCAAATTATCAATTGTTTCCACTCAATACAATAAAACCTCATTATCAGTTTTATATATGATGAATCATGAGAATTTCTGATATTGAGTCGTCTCTCCCGAATCCAAACGATCAAATATGCCAATGGAGCAATAATGCTGAGTTTCTATTGCAGCGGAGAATGCCGGTAAAAGCGATCAGCCTTTTAAGAGTTCGCCGACTAATCAAGCCAATAAATGGGTGCACGCATGTTGTCGCTGTGGTCTAAGTCCTTTACTCAAAGAATTCTCTGCTTTACGCAAGTATATGCCAGACAATATCAAAACTGAAGCCTTCAATAAGAACGCCAATAAAAATCGGTTCGTTTCATGCGCAACAGAACTGATCGTTTGTGTAAGGCCGAGAACATTGTATTCATTCGATGTTTCTACAAGTCCGAAGGCAATATAGTGACTTCAGGTGGACTCTTGTTAAAATACATTTAAATAAAACTAATCGCAGTTATATGGATGTGTTGTGTTTGGATGAGAGTCGTGTGATACTGAAGGGACGATCAAAAGACAACGATTACATTCACGCTAATTGGGTGGTATTACCTTCATCAAGAAAATATATCTGCACACAAGCGCCCCTCGACGAAACTGCTGAGGATTTCTGGTTTATGGTCTACCAGGTTGCTCATTGGATGCGATTCGTTCGTTCGAATAACACTCAAGAATTTTGAGTTGATGCAATGTTTCACCCACCCTCCAAATTTTAATATTGCTTAGATGTATTATCAATAATTGATTAATCATTATCCCTTAGCCTTGTTATGGTTGAACATTATTCGAGAATTTACAAAATTTGAACATATTACATCAATCATCCAGGGATCGGTCGCTTATTGAAAAGATGAGAAAATAACGGCGTTATTTTAATGAAATATAATGAGTGTACAAAATTTGTAGGAGAAAGTGTCCGTTATAATTATGTTATGCGATACAATAGAAGCTGGTGAGGTGAAATGTATGGAATACTATCCGATGAAGGTTGGTAAAGAGATCAAATGTGGTGAGATGAAGATCAAGAATTTGAAGAAGGACGCGTCGATTGATACGATTGTTTGCTTTACAATAAGCGTTCAACAGGGGTTCGTTAATGTCCCACTTTTATGGCCACATAATTACCCTCATTACGCAGAATTGATTACGTCAATTTCATAATCTCAAGAAGTGTTCCATTTGATGACCGACATTACTACTATGACATCGCTGAGATTATTACGATCACATTGCGCACAATAATTTTTCAGCGATTCTTGCCGTAAGTTTGGCTGTTTTCTAAGCCGTATGTTCACCACTGTCTTAGAGTGGTTATTCGATTGCTACTCTATGCAATTCAGAGCTGATCGTTGATTCGAACCCAAACTAATGCTCAAACTTTTCACGATCAAGCTTAATTCAAATGGCAACACGAACTCAAATTTCAGTAACGAAGAGCCACATCAATTAAAGCATTACAAATGGCCCGATTGGCCTGATCGAGGAGCACCGCCGAATGCGTCACCATTATTGGAGCTGCTAGTCAAGACAAGGGCAATGTTCAAATCAGGGCCGGTTGTGGTGCATTGCTCGGCTGGAATTGGGCGCACGGGCACGTTTTGTGCGATTGATTACGCGACTGATCGCATCGATAATAATGCACCGATTTCTATTCCTGATGTTGGTTATCACTGCAAGTTTACGCTCATCGTTACTTGCTTGCTGGCAAAGTTCAGGGTTTCTTTAGGCCATCCACTTGAGTATGCATGCGCAATTACAGGTAGTGAAAGCGATTCGAAAGCAACGTTTGCATTCAGTGCAAACCACAATGCAATATTTGTATCTGTACAATTGTGTTATCGAGTACGTGAGTACGAAAAAAGCCATGCAAAAACAAGTGGACGTTCGGAAATTTCAACGTGATTATGAGAAATATTTACGGAAGTTCAACGAGAGGAATGCGAGAGTCAATTCTTAAAGTGTTCAATTTTTAATCATCTAATAAAACACTGGAGCTGTTGAGAAATACAAATATTGGATTGTACAAAAATGTGTTGATATGTTTTGCGTAATGCTCACAAACAATGATGCTAAATATGCAACAGATCGTGAAACGCATCCAAAGGAAAATGAGTTGTGGTAATTCCGAGTTTTCGTATCAGTTCAACAATACTTGTGTGATGAATTCATGCATTGATTTTTTTAGTTTTATATGCCACATCAAGTATATTGCTTGAATATGAATAATGCAAATAAGAATCGTTTCAATCCTCCAATTTGCGCACTGCTAGAGAATGCGTTCGGTGATAACCACTTAATGCTGATGATATCGGAGAGCATCAAGCATCACATCACGTATACGCACGACTCTTCCAGTTTGATTGCCACAAACCAGCTAACTTATTTGGCAGTAGATGAACGAAGCATTCAATCTGAGCATTCCAGAGATAACTGCATAAAATTGCTCGTAAAAAAGCAAATTTGAATTAATTGAATAAATGAACGAAAAAACAAACAAGTGAATATTTGGTTGATTGATGATAGGTTTGAGTTGACAGAGATCAATAGGTGTAACAACGTTTCAAGGGGATTAAATTATGAGATCTCGAATCTAAACAGATGCACAACAAACACTCCATCCTAAATGCACTACCACAATAAGAACGATTCCACTAAATGAGTGCTTTCATTCCACTAACTTTCGTGTATCCATCATATTGGTTCACTCAAAAAACGATCACTCTTCACAATAATGTGCATTATTTGTTTCATGTATCCATTTCATTTCGATTAATAACTGCACATGCGATTACATTCATTCATTTTGTGCTATATCATACGAATTCTAATAATTCAATTACTCCCTCCAAACATCTGTTGTTACGTTTCTCAGTCATCCTGAGGAGTTGTTTTGATAAGGTTTAACGACACGCCGAATTCTACAAGCGCATCATTAATATCAATGTGTTGTGTTTCCTTTCGGTTGTTGATTACTAGTCTTAGCCAGATATTATTGTCATGAATTGCTCTTCTTTCGCCACAATTCGATTTCATCATTCATTTCTTATCCTTGGCATTTTTTTCAGTATTCTGCTGCCCATAAAATTCTAGCCATTCATTATGTCAAAATGCATCAAATAAAGTGTGTCAACAAAATTTTTTAGCTCACAATCAGCGAATACTCGATGCGCTTTCGATGTTTTCAATTTGACTGGTGCATTTTATCATCCGCTGCATTCACCTTGATTTGCAACCAGTCAAACCTTGTTAGATGACATCTGAACGCTAATGACGAATTGATTATGACAATTTTGATTCGTGAAAGGATAAGAAGATTTACTGATAAACAATATCATGGTAATAGAATTTGAACAAGAACTGCTCTATGAGATCGAATTTAGAGCTATCGGCATGAATTAGTTTGGTTTTGCTCCGATTCGTGTCATATTTCGTCGACCGAACATCTTAGAACTGCCAATATGCCGGCATTGCCAGTTCGATGTCGCCGTTTCAACACCATCTGTTTCGGCGCCGACATTTAGTAAAACATACACAAAATTTCGTACATTTCTTATATCAATCACATTGCAAATAAGCAATTGAATCAAATTTCTAATATCGCCAATATGCTTGAACAAACTTCAATTTCATCGCCATTTGATCATGCAAAGAAATGGACTGAACTCGTAGATGAGTGATGGTATATTGAAAGCAAACACTTAATGAGTTGTCGTAAGCACTGAATGAAAAATGTGTTCACGATTGCATGCAGGAAACTTCTTGACTCGTTTGCGTGAGTGCTGTTATATTCAAGCGATTGCTCATCAATCTGATTCACCTTCCGAAGCATGAACATCTTCAATATCTTCAATACGGAGATCTACCGATAGTTGTTTTGATTGGCGCAGAAATCCTCGTGAGCATAAAGGGGCGTAGAGTACGAGAACATCTCGAGGGATAGTGCATTCGTAAATGAAATAAACAACACGCCACTGATTGTATTCCTTATTCGACTTGCTTCGAATGACCAATGCTTCTTAAGCAATTCATAAGTTTTGAATGCTTTTCATTGCACCGTCTTGCTTCTTCCAAAAACACTCCATTTCATATCGAATAAGCAATCCTTTCGCGTTGAATTCCTAAAGAATTTCCGACTAAAACACAAGCAACGCTTTTGTTCAACTCTTGCAGTTGTCTTCGAGCATTTTATTTGAATTTGTGAGGTAACGTTCAATTTGAATTAAGTGAATTTATATGTATTCTTACATATTCTATTTGGAAAACGATTCTGCTCAATGATTCATTTATCGTGCATCACTTCGTATTTGCGCCTCCGCAGATATTTCTTGTTTTTTGCTGCAGTCGACTTCATTGCAATTGGATGATGTGTGCTATTCGCACGACATAAATTTGCACATGTGTTCTTTTCTCTAAATTTTCAATCAGTAATCATCTGACCAGTCGTCCATCACGGATTTCCACTCGAGATGATCACTTTAATAAGCCAGATACCAGCCCACACAGAATTCATGTGCGTGATGATGATATGCTGCATTTGTTAATCACCATTCACGACATTTCACACTTCCAACTGAATATCCACTCAGTTTTTGTATGAATATTCTCATTCCTTTTATTCCCTCGGGTATATTCAATGGTTATTCGACCTAACAACGATTAGTGAAGATGATGGAAATGATAGACGATTCGATTTGCGTACTTTGCGACGGGCAGAACTGATAATTTACTTCCTCGTACACATTCCTTAAATATTCTGAGTCGGATCCCATTTCATTCGACTAAATCACTGAATTTAGGTAATGCTCTCNCTCTCATGTCATGTCAACTGGATGTTGTGAATGCACTTGTTCAATTGTTGTACTTTTCGATTGGATATTGAGAGGAAGTGATATCAGAATGCAGTTCGGCGGAAAATCTCATCAAACAAGTGTTCATCGGAAGCAAATAAACAAAATGATATGTTTTCAGCCTGTTTGGAGGCTTTTATTAGAGAACATTGTGATATCAAGCATCTGATATATATAATTTCGAGCTGCATGGATGGAGCGTTGCTGAGGTAAAAATTGGGTTTTTGAAATTCACAATTATCCAATCAAAATCAATTTACTCGAAATATATTTTGACATAATCAAGAATTTATGCACTGAGCAAGTTTCTTACTTTTTCCAAATATTTCATTTTTCCAAATAAAGTGTTTTGATATTTTACTTCAAATAATCTTCTTACATCTGAGGTCTTATCATCGATGTGCTTCGGTATCTCACGTGATAGATAAATTATTATTCTACCGTCAACCGAAAAACTGTCCCAAAGTGAGAAATCCTCATTCATTACCACCAGATTGTGAGGAGAGTGTATCTTGTCAAATTATCAAATCTGTATCGCATGCAAAAGCTGTACTTCATGAAAACATCATCCGAAAGTCTTAAATTCTTGTGCAAGAATAAATATCTGAAGCGTTATCATTAGTGTTTGCAGTCAATTTCGCTTGTTTGCTAGATTGAATCTTCCAGTAGGCTACGTAAAATGAGACTGATTTTCGTTCGCGTCGATACTGTCTCGAAGGTGTGCACATTCTCTGTGGAACTGATTCAGTTCATTACTTGTAACTGCATTTATATGACCACTCTATCTCAAATCCCCTTCTCAAACCACCATTTCATGCATCGCATACATGCATTCAATTTCCTCATCGCAACTCATTCAAAAACGTTGAAACAAGTGTACGAATCCGAACAAATCAAAAAATACTGCATAAACTAATAGTTTCTTTACGGAGGATTTTGCATGAAACATTTCTTGAATGTTTTGTGACAGCTTTCCGGGTATATCTGACACGTTCCCATTTCTTTATTTATCTAATCAGCAGTTACAACTCAACATGAGTTTATGCCTTTCTGTTATCACCGATATCACGTTCTCGCTTTCTTCTGCGCAGCTAACAATAGCTACGCTGNCAGAGTAATCTTTCGGGATCAATAATAAACAATAAATATAACCGAATAGATTCGCGCAATCGGTGTATTAGGCATTCCACAACCGATGTCGTGAATAATTTGCATAATCAACCACAGCCGAACATCAATCCACTGTAAACAATCGCAACAATTCGCCGATCGCACACAACGATCGACGGCAAATCGAACCGCTCCCCGTCCGAATAGTTGAACGTAACTTGATGTGACCATAATTTAACCAAACTTCCAAGAATCACCAGTCGTTACCATAATCACAATTCCCACTTACGTCTTAACCATAATCCATGCATGTATTACTGCTGTTGAGTTTTCTTTTCATTCAGCACGCAAACAAATCCAACTGATCTTCCCAAACGATCGCTAATAATTCTTATTCATGCGCATCATAGAGGATTCTTTTGCAAATTTGGATATTCATCTACCACAGCCCTGCCTAGTTGCGTTGGTAATACCGATTGCGAATGAATGCGATAAATTGTCATCGATGTGCCGCTAATCGTTGCATTTGAATAATCGGTTATGAAATGTTGTTTGAGCGAGTCGATCGCACTGTTCAGAAGCAGTTAGTTGCGTTTGTTTGTTCGATCGTCAATTCTGCTTTTGTTAGATCGCATTAGTCGGTGGATTGATTGTTTCATATTCAATAACACAATTTGTTATCTTGCAATCTTCAACTGAATAAGATTTGAAAATGATGAGATTATATTCGTTTATATCAGTAATTTAGTTACGCGAACTACACAGTTCTCGAATTAGCCTAATAACGCGTGTTGAGAATTGCAATATCTTCTTTGGCATTTCCTTTAAGAATTTAATCACCAATGTCTGTCTGATGTCAAATGCATCTGTTTTATTCGCTCGAATATCCTCGCAATCAGAAACAACGAATAAATCACTAAAAATTTTTAAAAAGTAATGAATAGACAATGGAAACAAGAAAATAGTTTGAGGTTTATTCCTTCCCATGCATATGCGTTTA